ACACCTGCTAGGCGAGCGCTCTAACATTGAGCCACAACCCCAGCCCTTCAAGGTTACTTTTAACATTCTGAAAAATTATCCTTTTAAATAAAACTCTGTAAATATAAAATAAAATGACTGACCTACTTTTATTACTTGTGGTCTTTTATCTTACTAGAGTGTGAGAGTATAAAATGGAATTTATTATTGAATGACTTATAGCTGTCTGGCTAAAGTTTCTATAGTTTTTACAGTTTCTATAAAACCTAAAGTTTATCTTCTGTAGTTATTTTTAATTTCAATTTTTAAGTACAATGTTTTTGTGGATATGCTGTTACTCATAAATAGGGGAAGAACAACGTGTCAAAAGAATAAAATAACTTAGGGAGGAAATCTTGGTCACCTGGGCAACTGTGGGACCCTGCCCTACTGATACCTTTCTCTGCTCTCTCTGCTTCTCCTTCCACACTGGGGTGAGGACCAAGGAGCAATTTGGGGTTAATTTCTTTCTCTAAAGTACTGACCTAGCAAATAGTTCAGGAAAGGGAAACCTTAGAATATTTCACAAATTACAAAGTTCTCCCCGCCTCTAGCCCCGCCCAGTACTGGGGATTGAATCCACGGGCACCCTACCACTGAGCTACTCCCCAGCCCTTATTTTTTTTTTTTAATTTTTATTTTGAGACAGGGTCTAAATTGTCCAGGTTGTCCTTGAATTTATAATCCTCCTGCCTCAGTGACCAGAGTAACTGGGATAATGGACATGCACTACTACACTTGGCAAACAAAGTTCTTAACAAATGCTCTATAATAAGAATAATGCCAAGGAAAGCATTAACTCCTGCTTTTAGGGCATCAGCTCTGTACCGATTCCTTCAAAAGCTTTGTCTCAGCCTTCTTTTCTTGCCAAGGCAGGCTCCTTTAGGTCCAGCTTATTTAATGACCTACCATTTCCTCTCACTCCATCTGGTTGAAAGTACATGCTTATGGTTTGGATCTGAGTGTCCCCCAAAAGCTTTTGAAAGGTTCAGAGGTGAAATGATTAGATGATGAGAGCTGTAACCTCAGTGGATTGATCCACAGAGAGGGATTAACTGGGTGATGATTGTAGGCAGGTAGGTTATGACTGGAGGAAATAGTTCACTGGGGTTTATACGCTGGTGAGCAGAGCTCTTTCTCTCTGCTTCCTGACTGCCGTGTACTGAGCTACCTTTTTCTGCCATCCCCCTTCTGCCATGATGTGCTACCTCATCTCAGGCCCAGAGTTATGGAGTTGGCCAACCATGGACTGAACTCTGGAGCGGTGAGCCAAAATAAACTCTCTCTCCTCTAAATTGTTCTTGTCAAGCATTTTGGTCACAGCAATGCAAAAGCTACATGAACTTTGGGACCTGGTGAGAGGAACTGGACAGATGCTCCTCAGAGCAAGAAAACTAGCAATATTCAACTTACGTGACCCTCACCTTGCCAGCAGACCTTGCCTTTTTCATGCTGCTGGGAATGGATCTTTGGGAGCATAAGGAGGTGTTTTAAAAAATTTTTTGCCCAACAAAAAAATATTTTAAGTAAATATTTCAAGTAAAATATCATGGGATTTTCCCCCTTTATTTTCTCTTTTAGTACATAAAATGGCTTTATGCTCATTGTTACATATTCGTGCATGAGTGTGCGTGTATAAATACTGACCTGTAGAGAGGTGATTTAGTTTTTTTTTCTCTGCCAACCTAACTGCCCTTCCTCTCCCCAGTGATGGAGGCACTTCTCAAGCTTCCCCGGGTCAAATTCCATCTGTAGGGACAGTGTGGGGATTGGATTAGACCTCTGAATTCTCTTGAATGTCTCAGTGATTTGCTGCATTGTGACGGAATGATGACCTGTTACAGGACACAGTTTTTACTCTTCAGCCTGGCAAGTATCCCCTGTGCCAAGCAGCCATCACACCACTGTCAGGTCCTATGCTAAGTTCCCCAGGCTGCCTTCTGTCTACGCATTCATGAAACAAGCCTGGCCCTGAAGCCATCTGAGTTTTCAACCCCTAGAGTCTAGCCTTACTCTAAGCTGTGAACTTGCCTGTGTGTGAGGACAAACTCATTTTCAGTTCTGGGTAGAAATGAGAGTGATGGCTATTTACTGCATCTAAAAGAGATCTGGAAAAAAATTTGGTGTGGGTAAGTATAACAAGGGTTCACTTGATGCTTAGACTATATCCCTTGTGGCTCTGAAACTTATACATTTGTTTTCCTTTTCCCCCAATCTTCTTTTCCCTAAACTTCTCCTCCCTGATCTTCTCCTACCTGATCTCTCCTCCCTATTCTCATTTCCTCTGAATCACCTCTATAAAAGCCCCCCTGTACCTGTGGATAGGCACAATCACATCTTTGGGACAGGAGTCCCCTGTGTTTCTTCTTTGTTAGCAAAGAAATAAACCTTCTTTTCATTTTTCTCAATACCTTGTCTTTGTTATTGGATTGGTGTTGAGGATGAGGATTGAGCGTTCAGTCGCATAAGTACATAGATTTCAGAAGCTATTTGGTGTGAAGAAATATTTTTCAAGTAGGGTTTTGTGTTCCTATCATAGAATTTCACATACATTGAGTGGTTTGACCATGATCAAGAAGACATGGGCTCTGATGTTAGAATCTATTTAAATCAAAGAAACAACTTTCTACACTATCTTTTATTAAAGCATATACAAAAAGTTCATCAATTACCAGTGTACATGTTAACACATTATCTCAAATTTAACCCACCTGAGTAACTACAAGCTAGGTCAAAAATAGAATGTGATAAGCAGCCCCTACTAGGTCCACCTCCTCTTCAGAAATAAGTTTTTGATGGTGTTGACAGTGTTACCCCACCCTATTCTGCACTGTCTAGGTAGCCCAGATGAACTTCTTTTTCCTCCCAGGGGCTACTCCCTTGCTAGACAAACACTCTACCTTTGAGCTACATCCCCATCCCCCTTTGTACATATATATATTTGTACTGGGAATTGAACCAGGGAACACTTCTACACTGAGCCACGCCCCCAGCCTTTTTTATTTTTATTTTGAAACAGGGATCTGCTAAGCTGCTGAAAAATCACAAAGTTGCTGAGGCTCATCTTGAACTTGCAATCCAATTGCTTCAGCCTCCCAAGGTGCTGAAGACTATGACACTGCACTCAGTCCCATCCTTTTAAAAATATTTATTTTGAGATGGCTAAATTGCCTAGGCTGTCCTTGAACTTGCAATCCTTCTGCATCAACCTCTTGATTCACTAGGAGTACAATAGTGAGACACCATTGAACTTCTATCCCATCCCACTCTTGCTTATTTTTGAGGACAGTATTACTAAGAGCCAGAAGTTTCTCTTCTAGTGGGCTAACCGAAACCAGTGGGATTGAAGATGGCTGCTAGAGGAATCATCAGACAAATGCAAACTTCATTATAAATCCTTCTGCATGCTAAATGACACACCCCTTCATTCCATATGAGGTTCTTAATCGTCCTGAAAATGACCAGAAAGAATCAAGAAAGGAAGGGAAAGAGATAGCATGTAAATTTGCAGAAAATCTGCACCCATTTTCAGAAAAGGCATTATATTCCCTCCTTTATTAGCCCATCTTTCTCCCTCATTGCCTTTATATCTATAACCTTCCAATCCCCAAAAGAGAGGCTGATCTTTGAGCCTTTCTCCCTGCTTCTCCTATTATTGGTCAAGAATAAACCTTCCTCAACTGCCCAATTGAGCTCAGTCTTATTTCTATTTCCGCAATTCCAAGAGAGAAAAAGGAACCAATCTGGGGACAAAGATTGGTAACAACAGCATCACCTTTTCATTTGTATTCCATCCAGAAACTATTTGAGACCACCTCTCTCCAATTCTTACTGTAGTAATATATTCCTTACTCTTTCTTCCTTTTAGGGGAGGGGGACAAAACAAAAACCTGCTCATTTCCTTTCCCACAACCTGGAAGTCAGTAAATTGAATAGAAAGGAATGACATGGGGGAAAGGATGACCTTCACCATTTCTGTATTGTAGAAAAACCATGACAGGTGCAGCCAGATTTCACAGGCCTTTTTTTCTTTTCTTTTCTTTCTTTCTTTTCTTTTTTTAAATTCTCATCTCACACAGACTCCATGATGCAAGCAAGAGTCTGGGAATCTCATTCTGATGTTATAAGTAAGGAAACTTATAACATATAAGGCTCAAGAGAGTTACAAAGCTTAATCTGGCTTTCTGACATCAATTTTTTACAAGATGTAGTCTTTGTCCAGGTCTGAAATCAAATCCTTCATTGTGTAAAGGGGATACTCACTGAATTGGTGCATGGCTCTAGTCCCCTTTTTACTTTGAGTAAAAAAGCAGTGCTGCTTCCCAGAAAAACAGCGCGCGCCCGCGCGCCCGCGCGCGCACACACACACTAATACAGAAAGTGCCTATCACTGGAGTTGGGGTCCCACACCTGGTGAACCACGGGTATCTAGGAACTGTGTCCAGTTTGTTACAGTGATTTTTCTGTTGGGAATACAGCACACATCCATGTTAGCTCCCGTTAACCGCCAAAGATGGTATTGTTAGTGCAGTTCAGTCAACTACTGGGCAGACTGACCATCCTCATATGCAGTATCTCTCTCTCTCTCTCTCTCTCTCTCTCTCTCTCTCTCTCTCTCTCTCTCCTCCTTCTCTCTTCCCTCTCTCTGGCTGCCTCCCTCCCTCCCTCTCCTGTGCACTGCAGGACGCCATCCTTTCTAGCAGAGCTGTCACAAAAGACAGCACTTGGCATTTTTACTTCCCACTGCCCAGGAGTTCTGGTACCGGTTTCTCTGGATCACTGCCAGTTAGGTATACTGCTTTGGCCAGCAGGGCGCCAGGTGGCCTTGGAAGCCAGAGAGATGAAGGGGGACTTGCATTCATAGCCAGACTCCGGATCCCCACAAATGCACACGGTTCTTGGCCTGCAGGACTACAGCACACAGTGGGCGGCGACTGGGCGCAGTGGTGCCAAGGAACGCGCGCGTGTCCGCATGGAGAGGGCGCCTAGCCAGCGGTGCCCACCTCTCCTGCGGCCTAGGTGGTTCAGTGCTGGGCCCGGCCGCGGCCAGGCAGTGTCCTCCTTCCTCCTGGCCGGCCCAGCTTGGAGCCACAAGAGCAGGCGCAGCGCCCCTACCGCCCGCTTTTCTCCCTCCTTCTCCTCCTCCTCCTTCCCCCAGCCACCAGCGCAGTCACAACCGGTTCAGACTGGCCAGGGTGCCCGGCAAAGAAGAGAAACAAGGGGAAAAAACTGGGGGGAAAACTTCGCAGGGAGGAGGAAGAGAAGAAAAAAGGTGGAGCCCAAAGGAGAGGGCAGGCTCCCCAGCTCCATGTGGCCGCCGCCGCCGCAGGTTTCAGCGGGGGCAGAGGGCGGCGGCCCCCGGGACAAGGCGTAGCGGGACGGATTGCCCAATACAGCTGCAGGGGCCGGGTCTCGGGATAAATAGCCGCCCGGCCAGGAGCTGCAGGGGAGAGTGGCAGCCGCGGTCCCTACCCTACCGCACCATCTGCCCGGCCTGCGCCGGGTGCTGCGCCCCGGAGCCCCCTCCGAGGCCGGTACTCAGGTAAAGGGCTAGGGCTCGAGGGGAGGGTCCCAAGGGTGTGAGGCCGTTTCTGCTGCCTAGCCTCCTGGAGGCGAGAAGTAACTTCTCGTACGCACTCTGAGCAGTAGAAGGAGATGGCCACGACGCTGTCACCCGCGGACGGTCAACTTGTAACCGGTTTCTTGTTTGGGGTATGTGCTGGGAGCTGAGTGTGCGCGGTGCTCTCACGACCATCGCTAACACCCGGCTCTTGGATGGAGTGCTTCTCCGCGGTGAGCACATTTCCCAGGGAATCTGAGGGCTACATTGTGCGTGGAACAGGCAGAGAAAAAGAAAGGGGGGTCCTAGAGGGAGGACGGTGCCCCGGGATGGGGCTAGCGGCGTTATGTCTTAGAACTCCGGAGATAGTTTCTGGAGTTGGGGGCAGAGCAAAGGCGTGGGATCCAGATGGGCCCCCATTTCCTTGAGAGAGAATAGGCCTCTGGTCAGGATTGGGTTCAAAGAAGGTCCCCGAGAGAGTCGGTGTTGGGGCGCACCGGGTGCGCTTGGGCTGCTAGGAAAGCAGCACGCAGGGCTCAGGGCTGGCAGATTACGCTGGCTTCGCCAGGTTCAGCACCACCCGGGAAACCCTTGGGCCAGCCGAGGAGCCCTGCCTGCTCCAGGATCTGGAGAGGCACTGGCACCTCTGCTACCTGACCACTCAGCGGAACTTGCTGCTTATGCCTATCTGTGGTTCCACCAAGGTAACAAACCCTGGCTTCAGAACCGCCCAGAGGCTTACCAGAGAGATGATAACTATTTTTAAAAACAAATCAGTGCTTTGCCTTCTAGGGATGCCAAATCTACCTGGCACAAACCATCCAGGAAATATAGACAGCATTCATACTAACTATATAACTTATACAGTAAGCTACTTGATATAACTTTCATTGGACAAATCTCCTGGGCTACCACAGTTTGGAGATACATAGAAAATGTATATTGAAGCCAGGTGCAAGCCTGAAATCTCAGCAGCTGGGGAAGGCAGGAGGATAGCAAGTTCAAAGCCAGCCTCAGCAATTAGTGAGGCACTAAGCAACTCAGTGAGTCCTGTCTCTAATTAAAACACAAAAAAGGGCTGGGGATGTGGCTCAGTTGTTAAATGCCCTTGAGTTCAATCCCTGGTACAAAAAAAAAAATTTGAAAATGTATATTGGCAGTACTGAGCATTGAACCTGGCCTTCCTCTTGCTATATAAGCACTCTACCACTGAGCTACAATCTTGGGCAATTTATCAAGATCTTGTTTCAGAATAAAAAATAAAAAGGATGGGAGTGTAGTTCCCTGCTCCCACACACACCCTGGGTTCAACCTCCAGTACTGAAAAAAGAAAAAAGAAAAAAAGAAAAACAAATCCTTAAGGTAGATATAGACAGACCACTGAAGAAGCTAGAGAAGATTATGAAATGGAAGGACAGATTATACATTACATGATTTCAGTCCCATTCAGGTAGTATGTAAATGCAGAAAATAGGTTTAGTTTACCAAAACCAAGATTTTCTCTCCCTACAGTTTCTTGAAAGTGGAAATTAGATAATAAAATTCTTTAACCTGAAATCTTGCACCAACTCATATTTTTGGTTCCACTAAGCAGTTTAAGAGCATCCTTGGATTGTTCATTTTGTGTATAGGTTCTTAGGATGACAGGGACCCTTCAGATCTATAGGATGAATTTCTGGAAGGGCAAAATGTATGGTAAGGTAGTTCAGGACATTAGGAAATCTTTACTGGTTTTGAATTGGACTCTGGGAAACTGGTAGTGATGGTGGTGTGCATTGGTTGGTGTCTGAATCTATCTGGACAGATTGTAGAGCTAGAAGATAACAACTAGATGTGGTCAGATTTTCAAGTTTTACCTTCTCACCCCAATATTTAGAACCCTCAAATATATGTTTTTTTTTCTTTTCTACAGTGAGCTTTATTCATAGAATGCAGGAGAGTGTAGAAGGCCTGTGGGA